GTGGACTTCAACTCCCAGAATTCCTCAGCCAGCTGGCTGAGGAATTCTGGGAGTTGAAGTCCACAAGTCTTAAAGTTGCCAAGGTTGGACACCCCTGGTTTAGGGAGAGAAGTGGCAACTCTCATCAGCCTTGCTTTAGCTGCCTTATAAAATCACCCCGGGATCCCTGTGGGTTTTGTTGTGACCTAAACAAATATCTTCCCAGTTTTGTCCTTGCTGAAACACAGCCTGTCTAGTTCTTCTGGAATGTAGTGTATTGTTCATGAAGATTATAGCTCACAAACTATAAGTGGATTACATCACTCCACTGTCAGGGACATTTCGTGAGGCAAAAACTTGGTCACAGCTTGTTTTGGCTGCATTTGTATCATTATCCTAGCTGATGTGTCTTAATGATTTGTTCAAAGTGCAGAAAAATAATCCATATACTGTGGTTGAACTATGCAGTACACCTATAATTTGTCTCAGCCATAAAATAACTTTGTTTTCCACTTCTGGTATTTATCACCTAACAATAGGCTGCAGGCTAGTCTGTTGAATTAAAGTTTCTTTAATTCTGCCCTTATGACAACCATTCCGATCTTATTCTCAGCTGATTTAAATTAGTGGATGATATGCAGATACTTTGACCTGAAAGTTAGAGAGAGAGTATACACATTCCTTAACTCATCATATGGATTGCATTCTGATTTCTTACTTAATATGCAAAAATTCCTTAAACGTTCTTTTTAAAAAATGTGCAGTGCCTATTACTATAGATAGCACTGCAACAATTTCAGAAACAATGGACTGTGTGGATAAAATGTGACCTTCTTCTAAAGCCCCCCTCCCAGGAACAGTTATTACCTGGAGGAAGAGCTGAGTGGTGAAGCCTTCTTTCTCTTTTGCTGTTTAATCTGTTAGGAGGGAAGAAAGCATATCTATACTTTTAGGGGATTTTGACAGTTCTTATAAATCAGACTGCTCTTGACTGTGAGTTGCCAGATAATTTTCCATTAGGGAAAAGAATTAAATGGTATAGCAATACTTATCTCCAGGAACACTTAGACACTGCAAGTGGCATAGAATAATCTCCATTCCGTATCTCCTTCAGATGACATCTGTTACAACACAATGTATGACATGTTGTTATCATGCAATGCTATGTTTTGCTTTGTCCTCCTACCATTGGCTGGAGCAGAGAAAGGCACCGGAAGAGTAACAGTGTCCCACAACAGTTCTTTCATTTATGACATCTGGTTTCATCTCTAAAACAGACACTGAGCTGACAATAAGATAACTTGGGCTTTTTTGCAAGGAAAAGCTTTTCAGCATTCAGACAATACACTGATTCCGAACTTCCTGCATTTGAACAGAAAAGAATTTCATTCATATTCATCAAGCATGTTTCCTCCCCCCCCCTTCTGTTCTTCTGTTTGCCTTTCCAAACTCTAGGAAGTCAACGGCTGTAGAAGTAGGGGGGACTTTTTGAAGTAACTCTCTTCCATATGTAATCAAAGAGGCAAATTAGAATATAATATGCAGAGAAGAAGCAACAACCAAGAATTAGTTTCTACTGTGCATCTTTATGTAATTATACATGTTTTGAAAAGATGATGATAGTGATAATTGTTATTATAACAAACATTCCAAAATCAGTATTTGGATGGTACTTCAAAGTCATACAATGTAGGCAAACTTTTTTAGTTTCCCAGAACTTTTCAAGAGATAACCAAGAAGTGATAGAGTAAGCTCTTCACCAGTATTTATAACCGTAGCAAAGGTCTGAATTGTAAGATGTAATTTTCATAATGAAATTATTGTAAAAAATTTAACATAGTTCTGAACATGAATTAGGAATAATAATACTCCTAATTCCCCATTTCCCTGTTTAATATTTATTAGTTCCTCCTAAAGCTATTAATACATAGCTCTGCTAGTAGTTATAAGCTTTTAAATAAACTCTTATAGTTATGTATCTATGGCCCTATTAATTTCAATTACTTCAGCACACAACATTTGCTCCATAGTCTATGGGAGAAAGCAGAATCCTATTTAAGTGCTAGTCAATAGTACAATATTGCCCAGGTTCTTCCTGAAGTAAAACGACCATATAAGGCCTAAATGGGAAAACCTTTCTGTAAAATTGAAGTTTTTTAAAAAAATATTAAGTATGTTCCCATTGTCATATAGGAGGAATTTGGCAGTGTCCCTTAGCTGAATATCAGGTGGTTGATACTTTGCTTCTGCAATTAAACTACAACTGATAACTGCAGTAGTCAGTGGCTAAGCATTGAAAGCCCTTCTTGATACAGATGTATTTTAATTCAATGCATTTTTATTTTCCCAGGGTACATCTCTCAAGAGAACAGATGTATATTTTAGAAACTCGTGGTAAATCCAGGTTTATGACTGTAGCTAAGGTCCCAGTGGAAGTTGGGGAGGGAGGAACAAGCCTTTTTCTATGGGTAGGACGACCCCTGAATTGCTTTATGACATTATCCTGGGACAAGACTTTCCCAGTTTGAGAGGATTCTTGGACACAGTATCTGCTTTTATTGCTCAAACATGATTCCAGACTCAATGACTGTGGAATGAACTACCTGATCCTCAGGGAATTCTGAAAGAAGTTCTTGGGAAGACTAGGAAGTTCAACACCCAAAACTAAAAAGACAAGCCAACTCTCTATATAAAGAGCAATTCAGGGAACAGAATAGAATCTGAGTGGAATCTCTCTTGAAAATATGGGTGAACCCTAGGTATCTGATTCCCTTCTACAGAATATATATTCCAAACTGAAGAGTCTTTTGTCAGGGAAAAGATGATCATTTAGAAGAATGACATGCTGTAAGAATCTGGTAAACACAGCTCTAGATAAGAGTGATTTTCATGGAATGCAGATCTCTAATGAGAACCAATCGTACCATATTCTGGCATTAGTATATATACATCCATATTGGTTGTGTCTTTTTGTGGCCAGGAATATATGCTGATACTTGCCAGTTTGGGGCATTTGTGTTGAATGCCAAATGTTGAATTTCCTCAAAGGTGTGAAGAAAGCTCTATTGGTCCTTTCACCCATTTAATTGTATTTTCTGTAAAATAGCTGTGGGCATACAAGACTCATTAGAAAATTATCATTGGAGTATTAGGATAATTCCTATGTTGTGCGGTTATGCCAAATTCTTCAGGAGTTTGCCCTCAGGATGGTTACCAGGTAGATAATAAGCCTTGGTGGAACTGTTTTTCAGGGTTGAATCCCTAATAAAATACATACTAAAGCAAAATATCTCACTAGGCAAACCTCTGCTTTGTTAAATCAATTGTACTGGGGCTAGGAGGAAGCACTCAAAAACTGATTTGATTGATTGTGGTTACTAGCCTGAAGGCAATATCAGAAAAGATAAGAAAGAGACTCAGAAAAATGAATTGAGTGTCTCAGAACAAGAATAAAGAAAGGATGGTTGAGAAGCAAATTAAGCAATAAATATCTTTCTAGAGTTCAAATTCAATAAGGAATTAGAAATCAAAACTTTCCCTTACTGCTCCTAGACTGGTAGTCTGCTAGAAGGATTCAACCAATGAATGTTCGAGGAATGTGTCAGAGCCTTCCATTCTTATTGTCTGGAGATTCCCCGTCTTAAATACAAATCCCATTCTTATTGGTTTAATTGGGAAATTCCAAAGGCCCCTATTTCCTTCAGGTTGCCCTTTCAGATGATATGGGGAACTTGGGAGGAAAACCCAAGCCACTTTCAAGCAATGGACAGTAAGTTATATATGTGTATAAGGATAGTGTTAGACTAGATGTGAGAAGCCGGCCTTAGAGAACATTCAGCAAATCTATTTAAAAAGTGTATCATGGGCAGCATAATAAGCTCAAGCTGAATTTGTTAAAAGAGGTGAAAGGGGAAAAACCCAGTAACCACAGCTTATTGCTTCATACACAATTAAGCATTTGGTGCTAAAAACCTTCCAAATAAATTATGTGATTTGACAGCTTTGTCATTTCCATCCTTCGAAGGTCAATAAATTGAGGCTTGTTGGGGGCAATAGGCTGACTCTGTAAACCGTTAAGAGGGCTGTAAAGGACTGTGAAGTGGTATATAAGCTTAAGTGCTATTGCTATGTGTAAATTTTTGTTAATACAAGACTTTGCAGGTCTTTTTGCCATACACATGTTTACAGAAAAACAGTCCAGTTGAACAGAAACAGAGAATATTAATTTTTCATCTTTTCCAACATTTTCCTATTCCTGAACATTATAGGGAAGATTTAAAGAACACAATTGGGCTTCACATAAATTGCCTTGCACATTAGTTCATCTGCTATTTCCCAGAAAACTTTTCTGGCAATATTATTCATAAATTAGTACTCAGGCCAACCAGTAATGTCAATTCACAGCCAGAGATATTGCAACAACAAGCATTCAATATAAAACATAGTTCAAGTGGAAAAGATAATTTCAGAAGTTCAAGCTTGGGGGAATTTTAGGTGAAGCGTTTTCCAATTTAATTGAAAACTAGGCAAGGACTGGTATGCATTGTTCTTCTTTTTTCTTCTGCATACCACAGATAAAGCTTTTTAAACATTACTAAGAAAAAGAATCAAGCTTAGTAATGGAATGAAATTATGTTTTCATTAAATCCTTCTTACAAGCAAAACCATTTGTGCTTAGTTTCATTAGAAATGAAAACCTAGGTCAAGTTTATTTTTAATTGTAATTATGACTTGATTGTTTTAAAAATTAAAAGTGAGTAAGGGAATGGGAGATGTAAAAGTTTCTAAAAGCTAAAAAGATGTGATGATGAAAGGTTTGGGAACCCCCTACTGTGTGTTGCATTAAGTGGTTGCTAGGTGCTTTCAAGAATTACCTTTGGATAATTCTTTGGGTCTTTCTTCACTTTCCTGGATACAGCACAGAGTGACCCTGCTCCCTACCAACCAAGTGGATTACTAAATATGAGCACTGCCCACAGATTAGTTCTAAGGGGTTTCAAAAATTAGAGCCACGGGACATCATGTTGTTGCTAGCAGCTCATGCATGTAACCGAATTTTGGGAATGTGCTGAGAAAGGCAGGGTCATATTTCTCTTATTTCTTGTTGATTTCTCACGTTCCTTTCATAAGTTTGTCCCGTTCTGCTTCCAGCAAAAAGAATCTCCCTTCTTTTCTTGCGTATTGAGTTGTACGTATAAATTATGGCAATGGTTTTAATGAGATTTAAAACCCTTTTCTGCTTGTGGGCATTTGTTAGCTGCTGGCAAGGAAGGAAATCAAGCTCGTACCCTGCGTGTCTCATTTGCTTTTTCAAACAGTGGCTTGGGGCCTACCAGGAGATGATGGATTCATTTCATTTTGAGATGAACCAATTAGTCCCCTTTTGTTTATTAACTTGTGGGAGGGTATCAGCATTCCTAGACGGAAAACTGCCAAGTGACTTGTCCAAGTGTTGTTTTTCTACCATTAATCAGTCAGTCCAGTGAAAGGAAACATGGGGGTGTGTGGTGTGAATTAATTTCCAGATATGGGTGAACTTCAGCACCTGTCATCTTTTGCCATTCTGACCTGCTAGGGCACTGACTTTCAGCAACAGCTAGATGGCCACAGGTTCCCCATCCGTGTTTGTTTGTTTGTTAGATTTATTTGCCACCCATCTCATTTCAAAGTGACTCGGAGTGGCTGACACCATTAAAAGCATTAAAACCATAAAAGATAAATATTTCTAAAACAATCAAAAATAGAAACCAGAGTCAAAATAAAATTATAGTTCAAAAATGGTTCAAAAAGGGGGCAACAGGGTGCATGAAGTGGGATTGCCTTTTAATTCATCAATCACCTCCAGTGTGATGGTTCCCTCTTGAGGCCCCAAGCTATCCGATAGAGCCAGGTCAGAAGGGTGGAAGCCCATTTCATCTCAAGAGGGCAAGATTTCCAAAGGGCAGGCCAACACGTGTGGGATGGGCCAGTCCCAGTGGAGTGAGAACAGTGATGGGATTCAAACATTTTTTGCTACCAGTTCTGTGGGCGTGGCAGGGGAAGGATACTGTAGTACTGTACTATTCCCTCCCCACTCCTGGGGGAAGGTTACTGCAAAATCCCATTTCCTCCCCACCCCATTAACCTGCTTTCCAGCTTCGTTCTCCTGTGCAGGGCAACCAAAGAAGACCCAGCCAATCAGCTGGGACTAGGGAGGCAGAGAATAGATGGGGCAGGGCCAGTCAGAGGTGGTATTTGCCGGTTCTCCGAACTACTCAAAATTTCCACGAACAGTTCTCCAGAACTGCTCAGAACCTGATGAATACCACCTCTGCGTGAGACGGTTTTCTAAATTCCCTGACCCCATGCCATGCAGGGCTTTAAAGCAAACTGGCAGCCAGTGAAGCTTAAGGAGCAGTGGTGCAATATGGGCCACTGTAGGGCTCCCCAAAACTCTTCCAATTATAATGAAAGGTAGTAAGATTTGTGGGCCTTGAATCAGATTGGGGCTCAGTCAGATAATAAACGTGACTTAGAATAACTTAGAATAACTTTATTGTCACTTTGAAGGTACCCTAAATTTGGGGTATTCTGTGCTCTATATTTTGAGATGCATTGAAAATTGCTTATCAAGATAGCTTTCTTTATTTTCCTTGCTAATTTTGAAGGATGAGAGAAACCAGATATAAGTCTGTGATGGCATTTCCACTCCCACATTTATTTAAGATGAAAGGCAGAAAGAAGCAGCAACATATAATCAGAATCCTCTCTGAGGAATTACGGGCGTATAATTAGAATGGCATGGGTTTCTCAAGAAGGGGACAAAACTAAACCACGCTTTTGTACCTAGCAGCAGGGAAATGGGAGATCACTCTTCCCATTTGTTGAAGTCAGGTGGGGTAGCTTTCATGGTAGCAGATAATACAGATACGGATAGTCCTCAGCTTAAGACCACTGTTGACCCCAACATTTATATTGCTAAGTGAGAAATTTGTTAAGTGAGTTTTGCCCCATTTTACAATTTTTTCTTGCCACAGTTGTGAAGTGAATCACACCGCAGGCATTCAATTAGGAATGCAGTTGTTAAGTGAATCTAGTTTCCCCATTGACTTTGCTTGTCAGAAGGTCGCAAAAGGGGAATCACATGACTCCAGGACACTGCCACTATCATAAATGTGCATCAGTTGTCAAGCATCCAAATGTAAATCATGTGACTGTGGAGATGTTTCAGAGGTCATAAGTGTGAAAAATGGTCATAAGTCAATTTTTACCAGTGCCATTGTAACATCGAACAGTCACTGAACAAACTGTCGTAAGTCGAGGACTACCCCATAGTTCATTTCAAATGTTTTCTGTTTTGTTGGGTCAGTTGTACTGGGGAAAAGTGATATTGACTGTGAGGCAATATCAGGACAAAATAAGAAAGGGGCTCAGAATAACGAGGAGTGGCTCAGAACAAGAATAAAGAAGTGAGAATTGGGAACTGGACATACTAAGTAACAAATCCCATTTTCCCTTTAACAGATGTTGGTTCTGTTGAGGGATTGGCTTATCACCGAGGCTGGGACGCCTTATACTGGACAAGCTACACTACTTCTACCATCACACGGCATACTGTGAACCAGACACGTGTGGGAGCTTTTGAAAGAGAAACGGTGATCACTATGTCCGGAGATGACCACCCTCGAGCCTTCGTACTGGATGAATGCCAGAAGTAAGTTCTAGTATCCCTTGGGTGACTGAAAAACAACACTTCAGAATCACTAGGGCTCATTCATACACTCATTTATTTCCTTGTTCATTTGATTATACATATATTTTGTTCTTCATACTTCTTTCCTGTAAGGATTTTACATCAGTTGACAGACTTAAAATAACCTGAATCCATTAAAACAAGAATAAGCACATAACAGCATTGCTAAACCAACCACCATGCTAAATATATTCACAAGTCCTATGCCCTTCTTCTTTTTTTTAAAAAAAAAAATTCAACTCCTGAATTTTCCAAATAAAAGTTGCCACATTAGAAAGGTTATCTTTTCTGCCCCACACTTGTATGGATGAAGAGCTCCTGAATTAGCCTTGCTTTGATAAGCTTAAGGCGTGAAATAAGTTTGGATTTAGCAATGAACAGTGTCATCTATGCAATCCTTCAGCATATGCATTCCTTTCTCGTGAGTCTGCAGATGAAATAGAAAATATTTCATTTTTGCTTAGCATCATACACTTGGATAAATTGTGGTTACTTTGGATTATGCATTACTGAAAGTAAGCCATCTTCAAATTATAACTTACTGGTTTGCTCAGCCAATATAACTTAAGATGAATCATAGGTTAGGTTTGAATATAATAAACTAATTCTCTAAAATTCAAATGGAATATTTACAATTTCCCCTTTATAGCTGTGCTAAAGGGGGTATAAGGAATGGGATACATTAATTTGAGGCCTGTGTCTGTCACTGAATTATATATCTGAAGTAGCCCAGTGATTTTCACATCTCAGGCTGTGAACTTTAAAGGCCATCATTATTTAAATAGTAATAGCAATAGCACTTAGACTTAATACTGCCCCATAACGCTTTGCAGGACTCTCTCTATGGTTTATAACATCAGCATATTGGCTCCCAATAATCTGGGTCCTCATTTTACTCACCTCAGAAGGATGGAAGGCTGAGTCAACCTTGAGCCCCATCAGGATTGAACTACTGACTATAGGCAGAGTTAGCCTGCAATACTGCATTTTAATCACAAGACCACTAGGGCGCCTTAAAACTGAGTGAATATAAGTTAACAGCCAATTCTGCGGTTTAAAATTAAAATAAGTATAATCTCTGTTACAAACAGCCTTCATAAGCCTATCTGTCATGGTTTGGGATCACATTCTAAATATTGTTCAGACTATATGAAGCTGATTACAGCAGTGAAGCCTAGATTAGTTTTGCTGTAGCATCATATATTGCCATAGCTAGATCTTCCTTTCTCTAATAAGGATGCAGGGAACATACCAGCAACTGGAGATCCAGGAGAAACCACCTCCGCCCAGTGCCTCAGCTTTCCCTCTTTCAACTTACGCAGCACTTTTCCTCTGTAATTTGTTTTCTCCTCTCCTCCAGCCTGATGTTCTGGACCAACTGGAATGAACAACATCCCAGCATCATGCGAGCTACGCTGACAGGGGCCAACATGATCACCATCATTGACAAAGACATCCGCACACCCAACGGTCTGGCCATTGACCACAAGGCAGAGAAAATCTACTTTTCTGATGCCACCCTGGACAAGATAGAGCGATGTGAATATGATGGCTCCAAACGATATGTATGTCCCATAGTTCTATCAACTGTGCTTCCCCCCACCCACCCCCAGAAAGCCTGCAAAGCAGGCTTCCCTGGTATAATATCTTCTGGATATGTTGGTGCTATCAGTCCCAGAATTCTTGGCCAGCATGGCGACTAATAATTCTGGGAATTTATTTCCAGCATATATGGAGAACGAGAAGAGAATAAAGCCATAGTGAAAGCTTGCTTTTTGACCTTGATGTGTACTGTATGTCCATCCTGTCTTTCCATTTTGATAAAGAGGATACACTGCAAATAAGTTTGTCAGACATGATATGAAGTAGTTGTGTATTCCTCCAGTTCCTCCTATGAACCTCGGGTATAAGTTTTCAGAGAGCTTATGTGGTCAATTCTAACTCATTCCTACAAGCTATTTGCTTTTCTTACCTCTTTTCCATTAGTTGCTTACCTGAATTGTATCTCGTGATCAGGTCCTGAAAAAGAGCCAAGGTCTCTGTATTTAATCTCTTTCTCAAATGTATTGTCATAGCAACAGCATGGTGGAGATAAGGCTGAGAGGGAAGTCACTGGGCCAAGAGCTCAGAGCTGAGTGGAGGTAGAGACTTAGATCTGCAGTGTCACATGCTATCCAGTGCTAAAATTACTGCATCATGTTGATTGTGTGAAGATTACAAGCATCTTCCTTTCAGATCTGTCAGGTGGATGCTCCTTTCCAACATCTCAAGTAGAAGTTGCAGTTAAATTCATTGCAATTACTTCTGGAAAGCAGCAGGTTCCCTTATTATTTATGGAATACTGAGTAAGGGGAAAAAAGGAAGATTAAGAGAAAATGCTTGGCGAGAAGCCATTGCCCATTAATGCGTAGAAGGAATGGGTTTAAGATGATAATATCTGGCTATTGACATCCTGCTTCTTCCCTGCTAATACTGTGATAACATCCAACAGGTGATCTTGAAAGCAGAGCCAGTGCACCCCTTCGGCTTGGCTGTCTATGGTGACAATATCTTCTGGACAGACTGGGTGCGTCGTGCTGTGCAGCGTGCCAACAAATATGTGGGCTCTGGCATGAAACACCTACGCACTGACATCCCCCAGCAACCTATGGGAATCATTGCCGTGGCCAATGACACCAACAGCTGTAAGAAGAACCACTTACCCTTTGGGGAGGGTGTGGGTGGCAGTCTGCCATGGGGAAGGGGTGGGCATTCCTTATAACAAGGGTCTTCAAACTTGGCAAGTTTAAGACTGGTGGACTTCAATTCCCAGAATTCCTCAGCTAGCATGACTGGGGAAGGCATTCTGGGAGTTGAAGTCCCACAAGTCTTAAAGCTGTCAAGTTTGAAGACCCCAGCCTTATAAGGTTATTGTCAGGGTTCCAAGCAGTAACTCCACAGAAAGCAGAACTCCAAGGCAAGCATATTCCTCAAAGGACATTTTTTTTGGCGATATCATATTGGCATAATTTGTGAAAACCAACTCTTAAAGTTCCTGTGATTTTCATCTGATTAAAAAGTGAAAGTTTCCCCTTTTGCCAAACAATCAATCACATTGTCCAGTAAAGGTACTGGCTAGTCGCTTGGTAACCAGACTTTTCCTCTCCCCAGCCACCTGTTGGAATGTCCTTGGTTCCCACAGGAAACCATTTTGTTTTGGCTACAAAAAAAACCTATCTAACAGTGTTCCCCGTCCCTATCCCATCTTCACATTGTGGCAACCCTGAAGCCTCCAAAATGGCCCATTTTCTTTAGAGTTGACAGTGATTTTACACTTCTCACAACAACCTTACCGTTGCTTGAATCAGCACTGCAGCAATGAATTCTGAGGCAACTCTTCTTTTTTTTTTTGCTGGCCCTAAAGGGAGAACTCTTAGATCTTTCCGAGTGTTCCTGTGCAGATTATTTTATTATCCATTCGCATTATATTAGCACTGATAATCTTACTCTCTCTTTTTGGGGAGAAAGACGTCACTTGATATTTGGCTTATTTTTATTTGAGTGTTTCCCAAACATTGCTCATCTTTGGCCTCGCACAGCATGATACAGGTTTTTAACTGTTTTACCCAAATGTCTTCCTTGCACAACATTTTGTCTCTCAAATCAGCCCTCATAAAGCAAACAAACCATATTTTCCCCTGACTATTTTCCTTTCAACCTTTTCCCCTTACTCCTTTCTATCAATAACTGGTAATTGTTTCTCAGCGTGAAAACTCCAATCTGAGCACTGAGAAATCACAGACATTGTTAACCATTTCTATATTACTTGTTGCACTGTAGTCAGATTAAAAAATATACAGGTTGATTTGTGTTGTGTAAAAGAAACACAGGGCTCTCGTGCCCTGATAGTAAGATCAATGTAGAGCAAGGCTCTTCAAACTTGGCAAGTTTAAGCCTTGTGAAATTCAGTTCTCAAAATTTCTGAGCTAATATGACTGGAGGAGGAATTCTGGGAGTTGAAGTCTACAAGTCTTAAAGCTGTCGAGTTTGAAGACTCCTGATGTAGAGTAAAACAGCCTGAAACAACTTGTTGTTCTATTGCTTTTTCATATTCTGCAGTATCAGGTGAATTACATTATTTCTGACACTGATAGTGACTATGTAAGAGTTTAATTTTCTGACCTAGATAGATTATTTATCAGTGGTACGTAGTTGAGGCTCAGCTTAATCACAAACCCAACTAAAGCTTAGGGCTTTATCCTGGCAGGCTTTTCACATAAGACCCATGCCGAGACAAGTGGAAAGAAATATGATTAGCTTTCAGTCTTTCCCAGAAAAAAAGTCTGACTCAGTTTTGAAAATAGATGGTGTGGTTCAGTTATTTGTTGATGTGGTTTTCAAACAAAAATACCTGGAAACTACATTAAATGCCCAGTCAACCAACCTTTCATCACCACTTTTAGATAGTTCCAATCTACTGTATATCTCCAACCCCATTTATTTATGGGCTTCATTCTCCTTACTCTGGTTTTCTTCCACTTAGGTGAGCTATCTCTGTGCAGACTAAACAATGGTGGTTGCCAGGATCTGTGCCTCCTCTCAGCCAATGGAGAAGTGACATGCTCTTGCCGGGGAGGCAGAACTCTTCAGGAGGACCTTACCTGCAGAGGTAAGTATTCACACTGGGTAATGAAACATGAATGGAATAAAAGCATGTGAACTGGGATGATAGTTCCTATGAAATACACTCATACTGAGCAGGCACAGAATGAGAGATCTACTCATCCAGGGTTTGGTCTTCAAAGCCTCTTTGGATCTGGGGACAACAGGAGAAAATCCACAAATTGTATTTTGTCCTAAAGCACATGTACCATGCAGCAATTATCCCAGAATGAGTAGAGGGCAGTGCTGTGAGTATTCTCGGGAGCCAAGGAGATGAGTGTGTGATTTTAATAAATTCAGTAGAGATTCTCATTCCAAGAAGCAGTTTAACATGGCAGGCACTAAACAGTGCCTAGAGAAAAGAGCCATCTGATTTCTGGAAAGAAAGCTCTTGCTGCTGCTCATTTCTTATGATGAGTGTGACATAGAGGGAAATAGGGGTGCATGTAGTTAGCCGAAGTGTCCAGGGTTTCTGCACTGATATTTTGCCAGTTTTTTATTGTTCAGAAGTTTAGCTATTGATCTTTCTGCATGGACTTACAGAGCTTTTTCACTTGATACAGCAGGTGTCTAGTCTAAAATGTATCTTCTGAATGGGATTTCGGGGCACATTTCAGTAAAATGGGAGTTGAGAGATGGGTGTGTTTTCACAAATATGTGGTGTTCTCCCTTCCTTAGCTTCCAACTCCACCTGTAATGTACACAATGAGTTTGAATGTGGAAATGGCGATTGCATTGACTTCAGTGAAACCTGCGATCGTGTGGCCCACTGCAAAGACAGATCAGATGAAAAGCCATCCTACTGCAGTAAGATTTTTTTTTCTCTCTCTCATTTTTCTTCTTTTCTCCTTCCTTTAGCTAGCCTGCTTGTGGAGATGTTTTAATATTCTAGACCAATGTTTCAAAACCTTGCAACTTTAAGACTGTCGCTGTCAGGATTCCGGCATTTACTCCAATTAAATCATGAGCCTCGAGCCACACTCCCAAAACTAAAAAGGGATTTATTTGAAGTAACATTCTACTTCAACTCTGAGAATTCTCCCAGCCAGCTTTTCTGCTCTAGATTAAATAATTCTGTATTTCTGGGCATATCTTGGAGAAGAATTTATCCATTGCTTGACAGGTTATCAGGAAGATTGTTGGAATATTTTTTTTTCTTCTCTTCAAGTTTAAAAAGAGTGCTTTTTTGTTTCACTCTTAAGTTTGTAGTTTGAGGGTTTTTCAAAATAAGATTTGATAAATTTGTCACGTACCTTTTGCATGGAAGCGAAAACTGGTGGACAGAATGAACTCACTCCAGGGTTACTAAAGTTGGAATTTTAAAAAAAGACAAACCCCTAATCCTTCTCAACCCCTAGGCTCTGCTGAAACCTGACATTCAGCTTGACTTTCCCCCTTTGAGCGGGAAACTTCATAAAAATCTGAAGCTCCTAACTGAAAGAGAAGAGTCAGGGGCTTGTTTCTGTGCACCACACAGCTATTCTGTATGCAACACTTTGTGAATGTAGTGCAGAGCACTATAGCTCCTTTTCCAGCAAAATGTTCAGTCTCCTGGAATTCCGGAGTAGGGAATGCCTGTTGCATTTTTTTTTTCATCCAGCTCCAAGCTGAGAGGAGGTAGATGTAACAAACCTGCTGACCTTCCTTTCTACTCAGAGGCTTGCTAGTACTTGCTTCACTCCGTTGATAATTAAATTACGTTCCGATCCATTGTCTTTCAGCTACTCACTCCCTGTTCTCTCTGTTGCTTATTTTGCCTTGCAGACAGCCGCAAGTGTAAGAAGGGCTACTTGCACTGTGCCAACAAACGGTGTATACCCATCAAGGACTGGTGCAATGGTGTGGATGACTGTGGGGACAACTCAGATGAAGTGCCTTGCAACAGTAAGCTTTAAGAGGGGAAGCCAGTCAGGACGTATATGCCCTTTCACTTCTTTTCTAAAGCACTATAATAATACTTAGCAACTGTTTTCTGAAACAGTTCAGTAATTAATTTAAACTAAATTATTAAACATGTACAGAAAAAAATGCTAGCTGGGCCCAATAAAGTGCCTCCTGTGTTAAATCTTGCTTGACCCTCCTCTGTCTTTCCAATCTGCCCCAACCTAACCTTCTTTGGGACATATTTCAAGGATAAAAAATGTGGCATTGGGATGCAGGCAGTAGGGAAAATGTGTATATGACCTGGACATTTTGGAGCATGGGGAGCGGGATTCTTTTTTGTCTTGTCAATCAAATTAAAGTCATTGAAGCTCCCATTAAATACCGGACACAGAAAATCTTTTTGTTTTTCCAAGTTACCCAGCATTTTCTTTAAGAGGCATGAGCTTTGCCTTTGTAAGGTTTTACTCCTTTTGGCTCCTAAATTCAGCAGCAGAGCTGCTTGTTTGTCTGCTCTGCTGGTTGCCTCCAAATGCTAAAGCTCACACAGCCTCCTCCTGCAACAGCCCCCTCATCCAGTGTTTGAAAACTCTTGTTGTTTTATAGGCCATCCCTATACTGGGAAATGGCTTAAAGCAGTGGTTCTCAACCTTCCTAATGCCGCAACCCTTTAATACAGTTCCTCATGTTATGGTGACCTCCAACCATAAAATTATGGTTCGGTTCCTGAGACCATCAAAAATATGTGTTTTCCGGTGGTCCTAGGCAACCCCTGTGAAAGGGTCATTCGACCCCCAAAGGGGTCGCGACCCCCAGGTTGAGAACCACTGGCTTAAAGGGAAGAAAGGGAATTAACTCAGGGATATTGCCAGTGCTCTGGCAATTTTTTTATTTTGCCTTCCTCCCAGAGGAAGGGCAGCAAAAGAAAATGAAGGCAGTTGCCAGAATGACCCATAATGACTGGTCTGGCCCATTCTTTCCAGAGACAAGCTGTGCTCCTGCTGAATTCCGCTGCCGGGATGGGACATGTATTAGCAATTCCAGCCGCTGCAACCAACAGATTGACTGTGAAGATGCTTCTGACGAAATGAACTGCAGTGAGTGTTGCACAGTAGGCACATAAAATGTTGATAAGATGTCTTTTTCACCGTGCCCCCCCCACCCCATTTTATAATCCTATGCAGGCTTTACCTAGTCAGTTCACTCACCCAGTGCTAATTATCCTCAACTTACAACCACAATTGAGCCCAAAATTTCTGTTGCTAAGCGGTACAGTTGTTAAGTGAGCTTTGCCCCATTTTATGACCTTTCTTGCCACAATTGTTAAGTGAATCACTGCAGTTGTAAAGTTAGTAACACAGTTGTTAAGTGAATCTGGCTTCCCCAATGACTCTGCTTGTCAGAAGGTCACAAAAGGTGATCATGTGACTTCAGGACCCTGCAACTGTCATAAATATGAGTCAGTTGCCAAGCGGTCAAAGTTTGATAATATGACCATGGGGATGCTGCAACAGTTGCAAGTTAAAAACAGTCATAAGTCACTTTTTTCAGTGCTGCTGTAACTTCAAACTGTCGGAATGGCTGTAGGGTTGTAGGCAGGGTTGGGATTCTACCAGTTCGGACCAGTTCGGGTGAAGTGGATGTTAAATTTGCGTCTGGTTCACCAAACCAGTGTTTGAACCGACCAGAAGTTCCGGTAGGCCGCACTCACCATGGCCAGTTCCACCCAGCAACTGGGCAGCGAACCGGTTGCTGGAATTTTTGAATCCAACTCCTAGTTGTAAGTTATTGTAGATAATCCTTGTGGCCTTTGGCCAGTGAAGGTCACTCTGCCTTCAGAAGGAATGCTTTGGGATTCTAGAGCCCCCACCCCCCTCAAAATCCCTAATATAGTCCTAGATAGGTGTTTAGCAGTGCGTTTTCTGATGTGGAAAAATTGGAAGGGGTGATCTCTATAAAAACCTTGTGGATTTTGACCTCTTCAAGAAAATTCAATAGTAAATGTTCTTGTTATGCTAAGCTGGGAAAGTGCAAGAGATGTCCATTATGCAGCTATGCCAAGAATCATAGTTCCATTATTGAACATGACACTAAAATGTCCCATATTTTATACCATTGAGTCAGAATTGGATTGCTGGGGTATACCAATAAGAGGGGCTAACATAATTAGGAAAAATGGGCTATCACATCAAGCTGAATGTGCCTTAGTACTCTGTTGCCATTGTAATTGGGGAACTCCTTTGTTAATATTCAATCACCTGCTTTCCATTGTATGATGAGTGACACTATCAAGAGGAAAGATACTTCATCAAGCAGCCAAAACACAAGTCCCTCTCTTTGGTGAAAGGAAGGGCTTCTGGGAAACAGTATAACCCAAGCTAGCTAGTGGATTGTTTCCCCATTTTTCCAATGCTGGCTGCTACTATACATGACACCCAAGCTTGTGGAAGAGATAACATTTCCCCCCCCATTGAAATGTGCCTGCCTATTTGATAAAGAAAAACCTGTCCTCTGGGGGTCACTCTCCCATTCCCCCCACCAACCCCTTCTTTGTTTTTAAATATTCTTTGTTTTTATTTTCAATTGTGCCTATTCTGATAAGCTTCTTTGTTGAGAACTTTACCCTGAAAGACAGGATATAAAATAACTGCAGTATGAATGCCACTAAGGGTTATAGATTGAGATGACATTATTCTGCGGCTCCACATTTTTGAATGCAACTGGCAATGGCATGATTTGTAGGAGTACTTTTGCTCCATTAGGCCTGTTCAGTAAGTTTCTCAGAATTTACATACGTTCAGTTTGTTTCTTCTCTTTTGTTAGCTGCCACTGACTGTAGCAGCTTTTTCAGATTGGGAGTGAAAAATGTCAATTTTCAGAAATGTGAGCATACATCGATGTGTTATGCTCCATCCTGGGTATGTGATGGCAGCAATGACTGTGGCGACTATTCAGATGAGCAGGATTGTCCAGGTGAGCATCTTCCAATGAAAACCACCCTTCTCCCCATCCAAACCCCGAAGGACCTTGAACTCTGGTGAAATGGACCAAGCATTCAGAGAATATGTATATACAAGCAGGCTAGCATACTTAGCCATTAAGCTAAATAAAAATCCTTCCTTGGTCAACCTGATCTTTCCCACTCCACTATCTTGGGAAAGGGAAGGGTGATCTAAAATGTGAATAACCTGCACACATACCCCATCTATTAAGTCTGTACTCTATATTCCTTTTTCTTAAAAAGAGGTTTTACAAGGGGGGAAAAAAGTTTCTAGTGAGACCGAGGACCTTTGCCTTACTCTTTAAACTATTCAGACATTGCTGCCTTGGAAGACGGAACATAAGTAATTGTAAATTTTTGGAATCAGTAGAGCACACTGATTGTTTTTATTGCTATGGGGCATTTTAGCAATGTGTTTATTTTATATGGATTTTTCTGCTACATTTTAGATTGCTTGTAAGTTACTCTAGGGACTTCTTGAGTAGAAATGTAGAGGAGTGAGTGTGTATATGTATGTGTGTCTGTTTGTCTTATCTTTCTGTGTATGGTTGCTAGTCTGCCTGTAGGTTTAATTATACCTTTAAAAAAGAAAGCTTGGCTGCTAACAAAATGTAGAATGCCCTTCTTCTTTGCTTGCCCCCATCCATTCATTTATCTGACAACAAAGATACCAACATAGAGCCTTTGACCATTGTGTAATACTTCTCTTTCTCTGTTCCCACCAACAAAATACAATGTAATGGATTTGCTATTTTCTATTCCCCCCCCCCTCACTTTGGCCCATTGTCTTTCCCAGGCACAAGAAAATCTAAGTGCCCAGCTAACTACTTTGCCTGTCCAAGTGGGAGATGTATTCCCATGACCTGGACTTGTGATAAAGAGAATGACTGTGAGAATGGAGAGGATGAAACCCACTGCAGTAAGTCACTGTGTTGTTTTTCTTTTCCATAAATGAGTTTCTAAAATAGAATAATCAGTAAATTCCAGAGGGTGGAGGGGTTGAAAACATTTGCAATCTCTCTAGTCATTTGGGCCTCAAAAGGTCTGGTTTTTGTTTTCAATTTCTTTGCCATGTATTTTGAAAGCCAGGAAAGCCTACAAAGTAGTCTGGCTGCCAGCAATGGCTAACCTGAATAGGATTTGCACCTTACGTATGGTGTCTGTCAGGACTCTCTGTATAAATGGGGCATAGTATCCTCCCCTCAGTGTAATTCCTTGCATCCTACATCAAACTGTAGATCGTCATGACCAGCTGTAAGCTGAGAGCATATTCCGGTCCAATGTCTAATTTTTAAAAATATAAACGATGCTGCCCTTCAACGATTAGATGGCCTAGATATTGGTATTTGAACATAGATTTTTTAACATTTCTTTCTATTGACTTCTAGATGAAATGGTAATATATATTGCTAGGCCATGCACGGTATGCCATGCACTAAATAAATCTGGAAAAAAATATTCCAATTTTGTGGACTTCTTTGTGAGAAACTTTGGAATTGTTTGGAAGTGGCTATAACAATGCCCAATTTCTTTTTCCAGATAAGTTCTGCTTCCCAGTGAAGTTTGAATGCAATAATCATCGGTGCATCTCTAAACAGTGGGTGTGCGATGGTGCAGATGACTGTGGTGATGGCTCTGATGAAGACCACCGTTGCCGTAAGTTTTGTTTCTGATTTTAGGAAGAAGAGACGGCAAGCTAGTAAAAATAGTTAGAACCTAACAAAATACATACAAAAAGGAAAATGTGGATGTATCGAAAGGAGTCGGATAGGATTGGATGGAAATAGATAGAGATAAAGGTTGAGTGATTGATGCTAAGAACAAGGTGTTTGTGACATCATGAAAGGAATCAAGTGTTTGATGAGGTGAACCATCAGTTGGTATCTGGGAGATCCTCTTAACATGACAGGATTGAAGGTCTGCAGTAGTGAAGTGGTTAGAATGCAGTATTGCGGGCTAACTCTGCTCACAAACTGGAGCTCAGTTCAAACTTGGCTCAAGGTTGACTCAGCCTTCCATCCTTCTGAGGTCGGTAAAATGAAGTCCCAGATTGTTTTGGGGGGCCAAATGCTGACTCTGTAAACTGTCCAGAGAGTTCTGTAAAGTGCTATGGGACAATTACAAATCTAAATGCTATTGCTATTGTAATGGGTGGGGAAATTATTCAAGTGGGCAGATTTCTGTCATAACCATGGTCATGGGTTTTTAGACTTAGATTTTTCTTAGATTTTTTTATTTTTCCTTCTTTAAAAAATGTTAAATCTATGATATAACTTGGGCTATAGTTCCCTTGTGATTTCTACCTCAAAAAAGGCAGGAAACTTCCATCGATCTTGAGTAAAGGTGATTAGAGGGGAATACAGAGAGTCTAAAATGAAACTAGGGATAAGGTTTGGTGCCAGAGCCTTAATTTGCCCATCCATGCCATTTACTAGTTTAAAATAACCTGTGTGGTTTTGATTGTGATGAGAGATGCTTTGTAACAAATCAAAGAAACAAATATGGTAATCGGTGTTGAAAGGTGGATTGAACATTTTTTAGTCCAAGTTGCTTATACATTATCCTAAAGAGTGCAATTCAGTGCAAGATTGAAGTAATGCCTAATTCAGAGTATGATTTCTGATGAAATTATTTCTGGTGATGCTTCTAGTACTCAAGATGTCTTCCCAACAGAAACTAACAGAATACAGTACTGTAGAGTTCCGCGATATCATCAGCTTCAGCCCACCCATTATTTTGGATGAGAAATTAGCCACTCATGCATACCCTTGTCAATTCCCATTTAATCACTATAGTTTGTTTTCAGCTCTCCAGTTAGCTGGACAGGCTCAATATGTCATATAATGCCGTAGCTATGAGATTGCATTGGTTACCTTTCTGTTTCTGAAATGCCATTCAAGGTCCTGGTTTAGTAAAACTTCATGGCTCAGGGTTTAGCTGTCTCTGAGAGTCTCTGGTTTGTTTTAGATTTTGCCAGCTCCAGCCCAAAGCACATTTCTGCTGAAGTTGCTGCTTATAGCGACAGGTGATAAGGGCTTCCCCTCTACTGTAACAGATTGCTTTCTCCCTTCTCCTCCTCCCCCCCCCCCCCCCCCCCCGCAACCCCGCAAAGGTAGCTTCCATTGTCATGGCATTCTGGAAGCTTGGTGGTTCTTTAGATGCCTTTTGGGTTTGAACACTGTAGAACTCCTGATGCCTGGAATATTATAACCCCTTCTATGATTAATTGTAACTTTACACTTTCATTGTTGATTTACACTTTCACTGTATTTTACTGTTGTATTGGCTTCATCTCATGCTCCTAAACACTGCTTAAGTCAGATGACTGAAGTAGTCTTTACATTCCATAAAGAAATAAAAATTTGCTCCTGATTCAAGTAATTTTTGATGTTCTGAAAGGGTTTTTTAAACGTCGTTTATAAAAAAGGAAGGAAAAGAAAAGCTGAGATTAAAGATTTCTTAGTTCCAGTAGCAGCTGAGAAAAAAAAATGGTGGATGTGTGAAATGCACATATGATGTAGAAAAAATGTGGGAAGGTGATGAGAAAAATCACAAATTCCCGATTTTTGATTTTGTCAGGCTCAGTACCCATTCCTCTTTTTTTGTGTGTTTCTTTGCTTCTTTAGATCATACTACTTGTGCTGCAGGAACCTTCCAGTGCCCAAACACCTACCTGTGTGTCCCACAACGCTGGCTATGTGATGGAGATAGAGATTGTCCTGACGGGGCTGATGAAACCGTGGCTGCTGGATGCTGTGAGTTATTGCTTCTTCTGAACATTCTCTACTTGATTACAGCCTCCTGCTGGAAATTTGATGAGCTCTTGCTGTTATTCATTTTGTTGGTTACCTTAAGAGGCAAGCTAAACTGCTGTTGCTTTTCATCTTTGTAAACAAGACCTTGTCGATATATTTCGGTATACAGTTCCCACTGTGTCTAGAAATAGGACTTAGTGGTAAAGGCTCCCTATTATAGAGGAAGGAAAACAAAAATGGTAAGAACCAAATCTCTCCTTATAAGACATCACCCAAAGCTGGGTACCTCATCTTTTTCTGATGATTTCGATCAGAAGCTTATCTGAAGTTCTATTCGTGAAAAAGGGCTGTTTTCGTGTTTTTGGGAAAGTTCAGGATAAAATAATATACAGGGTACAAAATTACTTTTGACTTCCTTTATCAGTTTTATACATTTCACATATCCATTACCAGATAAAACAAGGCCTAAGGTATTGGGCTAATCAGATGCCCTACTTCTATAGTCTGTCACAGGAAGCAAAGAGGAAATGATGCAGCTAAGATCTGCAACTGATAGTATTTTTCAGCTGTATAAATCTCAGTCTTGCTTTGATCTTATTCTTAATAATCACATGTAGTGCCAGTATTTTGGTGCATCTCATTTTGTTTTAGTAATTTCATTGTATCGTGCATGTTGTGTAATTAGCACCATCCCAGAGAGAATGAAATTGAAATGTTCCTCTTTCTTCAGAATGAGCAGAAATTCACCATTGCCTCTGGTGGTAGTGGCGCGGGTAGATTAACCCAAAAAATCAGGGGCTCAATTTTTTCTCCCTAGGAGATGAAATGCTGTCTGGATCCAATGTGGGTCAGTCAATAGGATCAGAGGTTTTGTCTTCCGAGCTTTCAGACTCATGCTGCAGCCCATCTTCAGGGAACTTAAGTGCTAAGACTCTTAAGTGCTAGAGCCCACTGTAACTACATAGCCAAAAAGGCATTAAGAGTTGTTAACCTAATCCTGCATAGCTTTTTCTCAGCTAATATCACACTACTAATTAGAGCATACAAAACTTTTGCTAGACCAATACTTGAATACAGCTCATCAGTCTGGAACCTGCATTACGTGTCTGATATTAATACAGTGGAGAAAGTCCAGAAATATTTCACAAGAAGAGTTCTCCGCTCCTACTTGTTGCAGAATACTTTATGCCACCAGACTTGAAATTCTAGACCTAGAAAACCTAGAACTACTATGCCTTCAGTCTGATCTAAGTATAGTACATAAAATTATATATTGCAATGTCCTACCTGTCAATGAATACTTCAGCTTCAACCATAACAATACAAGAGCACACAATAGATACAAACTCAAGGTAAACCGCACCAAACTTGATTGCAGGAAATACGACTTCAGCAACAGAGTGGTCAACATCTGGAATACTCTACCTCACTCTGGTTTCTTCCCCAAACCCCAAAAACTGTAACCTTAGACTGTCTATTATTGACCTCACCCCTTTCCTAAGAGGTCTGCATAAGCGCACCAAAGTGCCTACGGTCCCTGTCCTATTGTTTCTTTTTATTTTTCTTATATGTATCCATTTCATGTATTCATAACTATATTTATACTTATACCTGTTATCTTATAATTGCTTGACAAAATAAAATAAATAAAACCTCTCTCTAGCAGAATATGTGCTGTTCTGTGTGTGGTATTTATAGTGCCTGTTGTAAGCGGCTTTTTAGATGTTGATTGGGATATGTTGATGGCTGGCTTTTAAATCAATTTGTGCTGCCCAGCCCTTGCCTTTTAAATACTTGATAGCTGGGCAGCCCAAGCAAATGACAGCTAATGACTTAAAAGCCAGCCATCAACATGTCCCAATCAACATTTTAAAAGCCACATACAACAGCCACCAATCAGATAAATACCACACAGAGAACAGCACACACACTGCTACAGAGAAACTCCCTGAAAATGGGTTCCAGCACGTGTCCAAAAAGCTTGGAAGATAAACCCTCTGGTCTCGGTGACCAACTCAGATTGGATCCTGCAACATTATCCTGGGATACATATATTCACTTTCATTCACAAAACAGTTGCATCTTTGGTTTTCTTTTCTATGACAGTGATGAAGAACTAATGAAGAGTGGAAAGAAGTAACTATATGAATTTGCTCACAGGGTTTTTTTTTATTAAAGTGTACACATGTCATGCATTCACAATTAATAAAAAAGTGATTGTGGTACAGTAAAAAGAACTGAACTACATAGAGGAATAGGCGTTAACTGATTTCAGTGTAATTTGTGATTTCAGTATATAACAACACTTGTGACGAACGAGAGTTTATGTGCAACAACCGGCAGTGTATCCCAAAACATTTTGTGTGTGATCACGATGATGACTGTGGTGATGGTTCTGATGAATCCCCTGATTGTGGTAAGTGCCAGCCTAGAATGAATGCTCAACCATGAGAGCGGCCACAGTAGCCCAATTTTTATTAGCTTGCTGCCAAATCAAATTTGGCTACCCAAGAGCAAGTGAAATCAACCTGAAAGGAGAAAAAATAAATTTTAATTTATTATTTAATACTATTATGTAGATAATTTTTAAAATCTATGAGGGAAATGTGCACATTAGGAAACAATTTGCTGGCTTGTTTGATTGCTTGATTTGAAGAAATTAGATTGTAATTAAACATTAACTATGTATGAAAGACATTCCCCAATTGTTCCCTGAGAGCCAATGTGCTACAATGGTTCTCATGTGAGCAAGTGGTTTTTGGGGGCCCAGAAGCCAGTACAGACAACCCTTGACCATACTGTTATTTTTAGCTAACAGGTAATATCACAGACTCTTTCACTTTGCTTTGCAAGTTAGGTCATTTAGCAGTGTATTTTAATGTTCAAAAGAGAAACTTCACATGAAGACGGACAAAGGAGGCTAGGTGCTGAGCATACAAAGTGCCCTTCCACAATCAATTCACAACTATCAGTTTTGTGAATCCAGGGCTTTGGAAGAAAAGAGGCTCTTGGTGAAGCCTACCCATTCTTTTAATCATCCTGGATCTAGATTTGATAAGTTCTGATTCCTTTAGCTCAGTGTTTTTCACACTTGGCAATTTTAAGGTGTGTGGACTGTTGCAGCTAATGCCTGGCTAGTTTGGTTGAAAAGGACTTGGATAAGTGAGAATAATTATATAAATATGTAAGAGAACAAATGCACACTGTAACCAGTAAAGTTTTACTGCCACTTTGAATTCATTGGATCTTCGTATATTCTACCAGAACCTGAAGTGCCCCATTGTTTGGTTGAAAGTGATTTGTATGTATTCCTAATTATTTCTCAGTTGTTAACTAGGGCTGAGTGTTTTATATGCATGCTCCAGACACACCTATTTGGGAAAGTGAATGTCTATAAGTGAATGACTATAAGCCTAACCTGAATGTGTGTGTAACATGGATGTGTGATATTTAATCTGTTTAGTATATTTATGAATAAGTTATAAGGCAGCAGTAAAGATATGTTGGTCAGAGACATAAATATGTGCATACTTTGATAGGCAGACAATGCCATGTTGCCTGCTGAAAGCTCAAAATGTTTTTCAGTAAATGTTGTATAGATTGCATGATGGAGTGGAGGGTAGGAGCCTGAAAATTGATCTATCAAAGATCAAAGTAGTTGTGCTTGACAAGAAAAATGGAGTGAAAAATTGCAGGTTAGACGTAAATGGTGAAAACCCAGAGGAAGCTGATGAATTGGTGTATTTCAGTAGAATGTTAATTGAAGGTGGGAAAATGGAGACGTTTCTAATACATGCAAATGCTGGTAGGTTGGTAGTATCCAATATGTTTCTCAAAAGAAGCGAAAAAGGTCATGGATGGCTATATCTACTTTGTCACTTGGAAGTGAGATTTAGGGTTGACAGAAGAAACAAAAAAATAAGTTGAATGCAGCTGGTTTGGAATTCTGAAGAAGTGTATATCATAAAATAGAAGAGAGGCCAGGAATGTGTGAGTGCTGAATGACTATAGACTGAGTACAAAATTGAGTAACTAGCATGGAAGAATTCTGTTTAGGTAGTTTGGTTATGTGGAGAGTATAAATGGGGATCAAATTACAGAACAGATATGCAAAAGAGGGGTGAGTGAGTGAAAGGAAAGAAGTTGTGGTTGGACAGAGTTGACGAAAACCTCAAAAAGAGAGAGAGGTGGGAATGTTAATGAATGAAAATGTATGAATTGATGTTATGGGAGCAAGGATAATTTGCAAGGATAGCACAATATACAGAAGTACAGTAAACAGTGCTGGTCTTAAGATTGATTAGGTTTCTATTTTTATCTCTTCATTGCCTCACTACTTTTTACTCTTTCTGCATATTGCATAATATTACGTAGAGTAAAGCAAGTAGGGTGTTCTTCAAACGTATGTTGATCCTGTTACATGATAAAAAGAGACACTGTTGTTTCATGGCTTGATTTCTTATCCCCTCTGCTTTGGCCTTCCCCAGAGTACCCCACTTGTAGTGCCAACGAGTTCCGTTGTGCTAATGGCCGGTGTTTGAGCAACAAACTCTGGGAGTGTGATGGCGAGTTTGACTGCCATGACCAATCTGACGAAGCCCCCAAGAATCCAAGATGTTCTAGCCCTGGTAGGTCTCCAGGAGGTTGGGGTTGGGGTGGTGACCTATTGTTGGTTTATATCCATGGTCAGAAAGAGTGAGAACAAAATGAAGCACTCCTTTAATTGGTCTATTCCTAGTTAATTAGTAATCTAGCAGCAGGATGCTATATACTTCTTGAAAAGCATCGAGAATCTTCAATTAATCTAGAGCAGGGGTGTCAAACACACAGCGTCACGTTGTCACATGACATACATCATTACTTCCCCCACCCCCCTTTGCTAAACTGGGTGTGGGTATAGCCAGTGAGTGACACATCCAGCCCATGGGCCGCAAGTTTGACAACCCTGATCTAGAGGGAGGAGTCAGATTGTTACCTAGTATGGGAGCTGATCATATCACCCTAGAGATGTCTTATCTTGATTGCTAGACTTGTTCCATGAATACAGATGAATGATATATTCAATTTTTTAAAGCTATAAAAAGTTGTATTTCATTTATAAAGCTGTAAATAAGTACATTCTCTGAGGGAGATTTTGTAGCCATTTTGTTACCTAACTGGAACAGAATTGTGTAAAATAACTGCACTCTTTGAGTGAACAAATTAGGGTTCAGTCTAAGCTTGAATGATTAATGATATGTTTTTTTGATAGGACTTTTTAACATCAAGTACTTTTTATTAAATTGTGTTTAATATTATGGATAGTGATATATTTGGAACTTTAGAGGGAGAGATGCTTTGTGATGAAGCTCTTTGGGTGTCATGTTTACAGAAAGTTGTCTAAATATATAATTGTTGCTGGAAACAGGTTGACTCACAGGCAGAGAAGGTTGTGCTTGTTAGCTCTTGTGGGATGGCTTTGAAGCTGTAAATATGGAACCCTACATGGTGGGTGGGAGGAAAACCTACTGCTTTGACATCAGTCCTAATGATTTCTCACTATCATTTCAGAGAGCAAGTGCAATGATACCTTTTATCTCTGCCACAATGAGCAGTGCATCTCCAATAATTTGCTTTGTGACAACAACGATGACTGTGGTGATGGCTCTGATGAGCTGAACTGTTTCATCAATGAGTGCCTGAACAAGAAGCAGACTGGCTGCTCCCAGGAGTGTGAGGACCTCAAAATCGGCTACAAGGTTGGGCTGTAGTTTCTTTTTCTGTTTTGGGGAAGAGGATGGGTCAAGACCGGCCCTCTAATCAGGCAGTTAGAAGTGGCGATTTTGATGTACTGTTCCCACCATGAAGTTATAAATTAATGAGCAGAATATATGACTTCAGTTCAAGAAGATCTGGGTATTGGCCATACATTGAGTTTACTTTGGCCAATACTTGTTGAATCTACTTTGATATGCCATAAAACTTTCAATACTTTAGGTTCTTAAATATGTCAAATAAATATTTCTACATGTAGAAATAGAGATTTCACAGCTCAGACATCTGCACCAAAAGTTGAATGTAACTCATAGGCATTCTCTAGAAAACCTTGTGCAACATTTCCTTCACTTCATCATTATAATATAGAACAGAATTTCAGAGGGATAAATTACTCCTACAGCTGACTAGTTGGGAATGATTGATCCTGGTTGAGAACTAGCAGGAGATCCATATGTATCTTCTGCCTATCCATAGCCTATGTCCCTGATGGCGAACCTATGGCACATGTATCACAGGTGGCACGCAGAGCCATTTGTGCCGGCAAGCAAGCTGCAGGCAAACTTACCTCACTGTGCATGTGGGCACCTCACAGCTGATTTTCAGCCAGTTTGAGGCCTTTTTCAGCCTCCCAAAGGCTCGAGGAAGGCTTCTGCAGGCTTCTGCAAGCTTTGTAGGCTGAAATCTAGCCCTGTTTCGTTATTTCCGTTTTTTTCCAAAAAAACAGGAAGTGATGAAACGGGGCTAGATTTCGGCCTACAAAGCTTGTAGAAGCCTGCAGAAGCCTTCCTCAAGCCTTTAGGAGGCTGAAAAAGGCCTCAAACTGGCCAAAAATCAGCTGTGAGGCGCAGTGCAGGTAAGAAAGTGGTGGGGGTGGTGAGGATTGCGTGCGCATGCGTAGGGGATATAGGGGAGGCACACATTGCCTTCCGGGTGCTGGCATGCGAGTGCGGGCATGCAAGCGTGTGCACAATTTCTGGCACAGGAGCCCGAAAAGGTTAGCCATCACTGGCCTATCTCATCCTGCCAGTTGAATCATCAGCCCAGTTATGGTTAAATTGCAATTGCCAAGGGATTTTAAACGGATTGACCCCTAGTTGCAGTTTATTGGAGTCTGTTCAAGGTTCAAGAATGAGACCGATAGAAAAATCACTTCCACTCCCAATTTTGGTTAAAGGGGAAAGGCATTATGAAATTGAAGAAATTTTGGATTCTAAGTATTGTGGAGAAAAGCTGTAATATTGAGTAAATTTGTTGTAGACAAAGTCAAGGGGAAAAGAGAGAGATTATATTTCCTAGGGCCCTCCCTATAAACATGTAATGACTTTCTGCTGCCCCTGCAGTGCAGATGCCGCCCTGGGTTCCAGCTGAAGTATGATGGCAAGACTTGCATTGATGTTGACGAGTGCACAACCACCTTCCCCTGCAGCCAGACCTGCATCAACACCCATGGAAGCTTTAAGTGCATGTGTGCAGATGGCTACATTCTGAAGCCTGATGATCCAACCAGCTGCAAAGCTGTCACAGGTAATACCAATTCTTATGAGATGCAAAGGTTCCTGGCATTTGGGGCCGTGAGTCATAGATTTGGGGTTTGGCAAAAAATCTATTTCGATGGACCGAGACTTGTATAAGATACAAGAAACTGAAAGAGAGTCTCTTAGGTAGTTTCTGACCTCACTGGAATTAGTCCTATGTTTCGGCCATGGTGGAAGTGTTTGGGGCTTGGAGCACTTCAGAAATAATCCAGAGAGCTTCAGAATACTTTTTGTGAGTCAGAACAACCCATGTCAAATTTGGAACTCTGTTTCAGCTTCAAAAGACTTCTAATGAAAAAAAAACTGTTCAATGCCACTGTTGTGTATATATTTAGCATGGGCCTTTCCTAGTACTGTGTTTATCTGAGAAGCCTTCTGGGTCTAATAATCAAACCCCACTACCTGCTGAGTTAGTAACTTCATAATTCCTGCTGTCACTCACTATCTTTTAGGGGACACCTCATCTTGTATCCTTCCTTCCTTTTTATCAAAAGTGCAAAAGTTGAAATAATTTCAGTAATAATATAATAGAATTATTTATTGGCCAAGTGTGATTGGACACACAAGGAATTTGTGCAAATGCTCTCAGTATACATAAAAGAAAAGATACATTTGTCAGAGTCAAGAATCATCTGGTACAACACTTAATAATAGTCAATAAGCAATCAAATCATACTAGGAAACAATCAATATAAATCGTAGGATACAAGTAACAAAGTTACAGTCATACAGTTATAGGTGGGAGGGGATGGGTGATAAGGAGTGATGGGAAGATTAACAGTAATAATAGTGTTTGTAGACTTTGTAAATAGTTGGACAGTGTTGAGGGAATTATTTGTTTAGCAGTGGGATGGCGTTCAGGAAAAAACTGTTTACTAATGCTACCTTTTGGCTCTTTCCCCTAGATTCCCTGCTTGGGAAATTGACCGATCTTATTACAGATAAACATTTTTATAGATAAATATAAAACTGCCATTTAAACCTTAAAATTTATATATACAACATTGTAGAAAAGGAGTTAGGTGAGTTATTTGATCAGAATCAGCAGCTAAAGAGCAGCTAAACAGAAAATCCATAATTAAAAAATAAATGCTCCAGGCAGATGACAAGCTTGTGCTGGGCCACTCTAAATAAACACTTTTCCCCCTGCAAGATGGAAGATGATGCAATTAAAGATACGGCCTACCAAAAGACTGTAAATAAAATTTACCACGTTCCCAGCCAGCCTGATGTAATGCAAGACCAAGGATACACAGTCAATTTTTTTCTAATTTGTAAACTGGAACATTAGATTTGACTCAGCAGCACACACAAAAAAGAAACAATTTAAGACAAACCCTGGGCAGAACATAAAGAAGTCTTTCTGCAGAAATAACTATCTCAAAACGCAAACTCTTGCTTCCTCTTACCTTGCATTCCCCTTTTCCTAGAAATTCCAGCTTTAAATGTGAGACTCTGAGGAACAATGTTGCTCCATTCTTTTCTCAGTTTCAGTCTCTTTGTGTCCGGTTCAGTGAATTATTAGTCCTCTTTTTTATTTATTTTTAAATAATTTTTATTAGAAAACTTTACAAAGATTTTTAAAACCACAGAAACAATGAAGAAGAAATAGGGGAAAAAAGATTATAAAGGGGTAAAAGAAAAAATGAAGAACAACTTCTTTGTGGAAGTTACAAATATAGTAGTTATCATCTTCACACAGGTAGGCTTAGACTTACAACCACAATTGAGCTTGAAGTTACAGTCATATAAGCTGTGCCAAAAGTTAAGTGGGTTACCACACCGGATTTCAGGACCTTTTTTGCGCTGGTTGTTAGGTAAATGCAACAGCTGCAAAGTGAACGTGGCAGTCATTAAACAAATCCATTTTCTGCAATGGCCTCCCCCCGCCCTGTCCCCCCGAAACCATAAGTAAATGCCAATTTCCGGCAAAAACATCATAAATCCAGGTCACGTATAAATGGTAAATGTGGTCTGGCTACCAAGCACTCAAAATGCAATCACGTAACTGTGGGGTCATAGGGCAGCCGTCAGAACTTTGAATCGCAAGTAGCCAAGGGAAGGGACATTGTAACTTTGAATGATCACTAAGCTACCAGCCATAAGTGGTACTGCCTACCATAGTTCCCTGCTCCCCATAAATAAACCTTTTAAATCTCCTCTTGTCTCTTTAATTAATGGGACAGATTGAAGTATCTTTCTGTATCTACACAGGAAATTCAATTTGCAAGTGATAGGAAGGTGACAAATGAGGAAATTAGAAGAGCACTGGGAATTTCTAGTATTTTTTGACCCTCTGGCATCCCTCCTTTGCTTCCTTTAACAGATGATGAACCTTTCTTGATTTTTGCCAATCGATACTACCTAAGAAAGCTTAGTCTGGATGGCTCCAACTATACACTGCTTAAACAGGTAATGTTGGGGGTGAGGGCCAAATATAACGTCTGAACAGATTCTGGAATTGTGTATTCCTTTAGCCACATGTCAAAATTGCTTTTTTTTTTTTTTTTTTTGTCTTGATGGATTTAGGGGCTGAACAACGCTGTAGCTTTGGACTTTGACTACCGGGAACAAATGATCTACTGGACTGATGTCACCACACAGGGCAGTATGATTCGCCGCATGAACATTAATGGCAGCAATGTACAGGTATGTTGGCCTGTTTGACTTACTGGCTGAAGCCTTTGTTCCTCCCTGAAAGGGGATGATCAGCTCTTCTAGTTTTCCATTCCAGACTCAAAAAACTCCTATCCCTTCCCATTCTAAGGCAAACCCTGCTGGTCCCTAACAGGAGAGAGGGTCCCACTTACTCCTTTTCTTTAATATCCACATTGTTGTTTTCTTCTCCTCTATACTTGCAGGTCCTACACCGCACTGGGCTAAGCAATCCCGATGGACTGGCTGTGGACTGGGTGGGTGGAAACCTGTACTGGTGTGACAAGGGAAGGGATACTATCGAAGTGTCAAAGCTCAACGGGGCTTACCGCACCGTGTTGGTGAACTCAGGACTCCGGGAGCCTCGAGCATTAGTGGTGGATGTACAGAATGGGTAAGTTTCCCAAATACATTAGGGTTCATTTCCTTAGTCTGGGTCTTAGTCTTTCTTTACCCATGCTTTGTTCATCCCTGACACCCCCAGTGCATGAATGATGTAATGTTTCATTTTTTTTTTACAGTTAACTAATTAATTTAGTCAGTAAAACCATATAGCAGAAGGCTTAAACTTTAGAATTCTTGAACCAGAGTAGAAAATTCTGGGAATTGGCCATTTCTTGACCTGTTGCCACCTTTTAAAGGACAGTCGGGTTCTGCTTAAGAGATAAGGGGCAGCAGAAATAGCAGACATCTCTCCTCTGTGAGAGCCCTTTAGATAAAGAATTGGATGCATGAATTGGCTACAGGTTTTGATAACTGTTCTGCAGTGAGGGATGTGGGCTTTGGCTTCATAGAAGAGGAATAATATTTCCCAATGTGTAAAGTTTCTTGGAGGGGGATAGGATCTTTTTTATATCTTGTTACATAGGGAAACTTGTGTCTCTTCTCTAATGGAATAAATGTGTTGCCCATTATTGGCACCGTGTAAATTTTTACAATACAGATAGTCCTCAACTTATGACCATAACTGAGCCCAAATTTTTTGTTTTGCTAAGTAAGTTCAACATTTATTTATTAAGTGAGTTTTGCCCCATTTTATGTTCTTTTGTGCCACAGTTGTTAAGTGAATCACTGTAGTTGTTAAGTTAGTAACACGGTTGTTAAGTGAATCTGGCTTTTCCATTGACTCTGCCTGTAAGAAGGTCATAAGTATGAAAAACGGTCAGAGGTCATTTTCACCTTTGAACAGTCACGAAATAAACTGTTGTAAGACGAGGACTACCTGTATTGTTTTATACCATCGTGAATTTAAGATTTTAATAAGATAGGGGACAGCAGAGAATCAGTGTGCTCTAGTGCAGGGGTATCAAACTCATGCTATCACATTGTCGTCACATGACGTATCGTGAATTTTTTCCCCCTTCGCTAAACCAGATGTGGGCAGCGCATGACGCATCCAGCCCACAGGCCGGAAGCTCTGCTCTAGAGTTTAAGGCACCAGGCTAGAACTACGAGTTCCAGTCCTACCTTAGGCATGAAAGCATCTGGGTGACTTTGGGCCAGTCACTCATCTCTCAGGCCACAATGTCAGGTTCAGGCAAAAATGTCAGAGCATTTGGCAGTGTGACTACCTTCATGAGATAACCCGGGAGCAATAACAGAGACTTAGACATTAACAGTGGTTTAATATACAACAGTTATATACAGATAATATACACGTGGTAGGCAAAATACAATACAAGCAAGCTTTTCTTCCTTTTAACACACAGAGAACTTCTGCATTGAATACTGGTCACAAGGAAAGAGAACCACACCCTCGAATGGCTGCCTTTTATATACACATCTCTTAAGGGGATCTTTACTCTCCAGTCTTAAAGGGAAACACCCATACTATGTTGAATCACTCTAGTTACATCAGCCTACATCTGGCAGCTATTCACTGCTGGTCAGTTCTTAAATCTTAATATCTGAACAAAAAAGCTAGTTGGTCACAGCCAATGGATCAATGGTTGATCCCTCCCCCTCAAAGAAAAAAAAGCAGACTTAATATTTGCAGGAAAATGGAAGGATGAAAAAAACAACAACCCTGGTAGTCCTATGCTTATGCCATTCTTGCCCACTCCGTTTGCTCCCTTCCAGATATTTATACTGGACTGACTGGGGTGACCATTCCCTGATTGGCAAGATAGGCATGGATGGTACCAACCGGAGTGTCATTGTGGAGACTAAGATCACATGGCCCAATGGCCTCACCCTGGACTACATTAACAGCCGCATCTATTGGGCCGACGCACGAGAGGACTACATTGAATTTGCTAGCTTGGATGGTTCTAACCGCCACATTGGTAAGTGAATTGTAACAGCTCATGTTCAGATGCAGAGAGGAGGCTGAATATAGTAGCCAGAAGAAGGCTCTGAGATGGCACAGAAGATCTGATGGGATGTATATTCCTCCCATGACTTCCAATTTCTCTCTATTTCCCAAAAAAAATTTTTTTCTCGGGTAGCCTCAATTTTAGAGTCTGTTTTTCGAACCTCTCCTTCCCCTTTTTTGTCTCTTACAAATATTTTCTCTTTTCTCCTCCAGTAGCATGTTGCAGAGTTCCTTTGTTTGTTGCCTGCTACTTTCCAGGCCTCTGTCATTGTATGCTGCTGACTTTTTTCTTTTAAATTACAATTACTTATATATCGCCTTTTGAGAAGCCAGTAAGATATAGTGCCGGATGAGGAATGCAGAATCCTGAGTTATAGTTTTCCTTTGTGCACAGAAGTCACCAGGATGATCTTGAGCAAGTCAATTTCTCTTAAGGCCAATCAGCATCGGCTTCTGTAACAAGCTGCTTGAAAATTAAACCTCCCTGTTGCCCTGTGCATTGACAGATTTGCTACATGAACTGCAGCAAACACAATGCAAAACAAATGGACCCTATAAGTGAGACAAATAACAACAACAGCCCACATATCACCTTGCAGAATATATGTTCACCAAAATAGATTAAAAATGACAGCATCAATAATAAAACTTATTACACGCAGGGAATAAATACAGCAGAACCATATTTCTGTGCTCCGCCTATTTAAAAGTTTGGGATTTTTTTTGCAGGTTATCCTCATATATCCTGACAAATTTTGTTTGTTGTAAGATTAAAGTATCTGAAACATGTTTCCATAAAGAGGAATAAGTGCTGTAATCATCAGGATTTTTTATTTTTTATTTTGGAAATAGAAATTGGAACTGGAAGAATTGCCTCCTATCCATATGCAGTGGCATTTGAATGCCAGCTCTTTTACCGTTTTAAGCACATGATGAAGCGCAGTTGTTGTGTGGATTGATTGTCCCATGTTATATTTTGATATTTGTTTTTCCTCACTGTAATGACCTTTGGGTCTGCCAAATGAAGAAAACAGAAGCAGCAATCTGTATGGCGATCATCATGAGAATGGATGAAGAGAGCTGAACTGCAGTTTCTTTCCGTTTATAAATTAGTGTGTTAGAACAAAGATGTATAGTTGGTTTTCTTCATAACTGAGAATGAACCAAAGCTTTAAAATTGAGTCCAGACATTTTTGGAGATCATTGGCAAAAGATAGAATAAAACTATGCATAGTCCTACTGTTTCCGTGCCGTGGTGTGAAGTGGTTGGAATGCATTCTGACTGGCTCAAGGTTGACTCAGCCTTCCATCCTTCCAATGTCGATAAAATAAGGACCCAGATTGTTGGGGGCAATATACTGGCTCTGTAAACTGCTTAGAGAGGGCCGTAAAGCACTGGGATATAAATTTAGGTGCTATTACTATTGCTATTCTTCAAATTGGAAGCTGGTTTTGAAATTAGTATTGCAGCATGTATAGATAGTTTACCTGGCTTCTCACTGTTATATTACTACTATCTTTAATTCCAAGAACCACTACTCTGAAAGACACAAATATATAATATCATTCCAAGGGGTAATACAAGGAGTTAAAAGATAGCAACCAGCGAGTATGAGGAGTTAGGGAAAATGAAATTGAATACTTAAAATTCTCCTATTGCCATCATATTTTTTCCATTTTTTTATATTCCTATTTTTCATTAGACTAACAAAATGGAAAGAGGCATTTGAGTTTAACCCCACCTGTCATGAGTGACTACCATATATACTTGCAAATAAGCCAATTATGAAAATTAAATTTGGCTTAATGCACAGGTGATGCATTTTTATGATATTTTGGTTAAAAATCCAAGGATCAGCTTATTCGCAGATGGGCTTATCCATGATTATATACAGTATAGATAAACAAACATACTGAGCTCATAAGCTACTCAAATGAAACTCAACTCCGAGTAATATACATTCCAACCACCATAAATTAGGTTAAAAGCATTCAGCATACAGGGCAATGAAAAGCAACCATAATTCATAAAAAAGTTACAGCACTAATCCATTCAACCAAGCCAAAGATAATTTCTGTCGCCCTAAGGAACAAGTTGTACTGTGTTAGCCCCTAAGGCCTAATGGAATATATGTTTTTTGATGGACTTTCTAAAAACCAGAAAGAAGGGGATCTTTTGGGTAGCCAGGAGCATATTGTTCAGAAGAAGAGCAACATTGGAGATAGTTGTCATTGTTAGCTATGGATATTTTGCCATAGTACTGAGCAGATACTATCCTTGGCCCTAGGGCTCTCCATTCCCATTGCCTAGATGTTCAGTGGGCTCCTTCCGTGTTGTCACCAAGTGAAAATTGCTCTTTCTTCTCCCACTAATAGTGCTGAACCAAGATATCCCCCACATCTTTGCCTTAACCCTCTTTGAAGATTACATTTATTGGACTGATTGGGAGACCAAATCCATCAACCGAGCCCACAAAACCACTGGGGCCAACAAGTCTGTGCTGATCAGCACTCTGCATCGGCCCATGGATATCCACATCTACCACCCTTACAGGCAGCCAGATGGTAAGTGCTCTCTGTAAGGTGCTGAAAAGAGGAAGGAAGGTATTATGCGTAGAGATTGGTTTCAGTTACTATACCACAGGGCAATGTTAGACACAATAAAATGAGGAAATGACCTTTAAGACATTACCAGGGCAGAGATGGAAGGGCAGGTAAAAGCAAGGGACAGAGCTGTTACTTGACTCCTACATTGCTATGTGCTAGCAGTTGATACTGCTTGAATGAGCCCTGGTGGCTCAGTGGTTAGAATGCAGTATTGCAGGCTAACTGTGCTGACTGCCAGCAGTTCGATCTGACCAGCTCAAGGTCGACTCAGTCTTCCATCCTTCCAAGGCGGGTAAAATGAGGACCCAGATCCTTGTTGGGGGCAATAAGCTGATTCTGTAAACGGCTTAGAGAGGGCTGTAAAGCACTGTGAAGCGGTATATGTGTTATTGCTAAACTGGAGGTTCAAACACAGTAAACTACCTGGCAGCCACTTCGGTGGTGGAAAAAAACCCCTAGGAACATTGTTGATCAGGACATGTTTCTTTTTATTTTCTGTCAGATGGATTTCGTTCCTTTCTCTCACATGCAGAGTAACATTTGCATTCATTTATTTTTAGTGGGTGAGTGTGTTTTGTGCATGCAAGAGAAGTTGAGGGAGTGAGGTTCTCCTTATACAAGGGTAGTGGGATATCTTTGTGCAGTAGAACAGAGATCAGGTGTCTTTGGCAAAGGTCATACCACCACAAGCTGCTATTAACTACTGTAACATACACCTCTTCATTATCTGATCCTTCCTTAGTTCCTAACCATCCTTGCAAAATCAACAATGGCGGCTGCAGCAACTTGTGCCTGCTGTCACCAGGAGGGACCTTCAAGTGTGCATGCCCCACCAACTTCTATCTGGGCGCTGATGGTAGAACCTGCATCTCCAATTGTACTGCCAGTCAGGTAACCGGCTGGGACATGCAAACATTGCTCCATTATTTATAAATCCTCTTTGTCAGGAATGCAACTTCCATCTGCTCAAGGGTGCCATCATCATGAGGGCCACATTCTTAAGTAGCCAAGTCCAAATCTTTTTTTTTTTTGGGGGGGGGGGGAGATGATTATTTGCAAGGGGTCCTTTTTTAAAAAACTCTGATATCCTATCAAAATTCCAAAGATGCAAAAGATATGCTCTTTTTTTTTTTTGCCTTCTATGTTCTGGTCATCATAAAAGAGATGCTGATAGATCGTATGTAATCTTTTGGTCTTACTTTTTTTTCACCCTTGCTCAGTGTTAGTACCCTTCGTGCACTGCTTTCTCAAGGGATTCTTAATATGCTTCAGCACTGGGAAGGCAACTTTTTGGTAAAAAGAGGGATAACTTAAAAAAAATGGTGGGGTAGAAACCAAGGATTACCCAAAAATATCACGGTGTGATCTGGATACCTGGAATGGTGGTTTCTTGAGGTTAGAGTGGGAGGTTTCGTATTTTAGATATGCCACCAATTTTCAGCCGCACCATTTCAGGAGGCTATCTGAGGATTGTGGGGCTCTCTTTTTAGGGAGACTTCCAAGCCAATGAAAGGGAAGGCTCCATCCAAATATGAGCATCTGTTGGATCCATAGAGCTTCCAACCAGCGTATTCATTCAATTGATCTTCAGTTGGAGAAAACAATCCCTTTTCCACCGACCTCCTAAAATACAAAAAATGTTTTTTTATTTTGTTTTTGTTTTCTTTAATTGGGGATGAGCCATGAATTAATGTATGAAGCGATTAGAAATTGAATTCCTATCCCAGCTTCTAATAGCCTTTTAAAAAAAAAAGACTATTTCTAAACTCTAACATAGCCGATGTTACTGGCTGGAGTTTGTCTTGGGGTGATAGCTTATGTTCCTTTGACCATTACTCATCCATTATTTCAGCATCATTACCTTTTCTCCCTGCCAGTTTGTCTGCAAGAATGACAAATGCATCCCTTTCTGGTGGAAATGTGACACCGAGGATGATTGTGGGGATCGTTCAGATGAACCAGAGGATTGCCGTAAGTGAACTTTTGGGAGAAGACTTAGGCGGGAGAGACCCTTGTCATAGGTTTAGATAGATGATAATCCTGGCTGAAAACAGTGAGAGGGCCTGGATAATAATTTTGAAGCACTGAAGAGAGTAACATTTGCATCTGGCGTTTGGACCTGTCAGGCACTTCGGTTACTCTATAGAATTGTAAGACAAAGTCGCCTTTGAATTAAGCTCTACTTCTGTTGACTTAATGGACATATCTAAGACTTTGGTTACAGCGCAGAAACAATTTGTCGTTGCCTTCTTCCAGAATTATTTTTTTAACTTCTGGCTTACAGGCCTGATATTTTTTAGTCATCCCTATCCAAATTTTACCAAGATCAAATCCCGCGTACTTTCAACGATCAACTGATACTACTTTGGATCAGCATACTTAAGCAGTATTGATGAAACAGCAAACTCCAGGTTCAAATTGGCATCTCCTTCATTCAGAATTCCCATCGATTGTTCCATTGATAAGGTGTTACTTAGCCCTAAAATAGATCCATCCAACAGTTGACTTACAGTTGACTATAATGACCGTTCACAATGGCATTGAAAAAAGTGTCTTAACGGTTATTTTTCACACTTATGACCAATGCAGCATCCCTATGATCACACGATCAAAGTCCAGATGCTAGGTAACCAGTTCATACTTATGACCGTTGCTGTGTCCGGGGGTCGCATGCTCTCCTTTTGCAATCTTCTGACAAGCAAAGTCAAGGGGAATCCAGATTCACTCGACAACTGTGTGGCTAACTTAACAAATACAATGATTCGCTTAACAACCGCAGCAAGAAAGGTTGTAAGATGGGCCAAACTCCCTTAACAAATGTTTCCCTCAACAACATAAATGTTGGGCTCCGTTATGGTCATAACTCGAGGACTACCTGCTCTTCCTTGTGTTATTAGCCTCCTGGATCAGGGGTCGCCAACCTATTGGACCTCAGGGACCAGCAAACTCATAATTTTAAATACCAGGGACCACTAACCAGTTCTGTGGGCATGGCCTAATTTGTGGGTGTGGCTTGGTGGTCATGTGACTGGCTGGGCATGGCTTGTTTGTAAATATTATAAATATTTATACAAATATTGATTTTTTTATTAAAAAGAGCAACTTTTACCCAAAATCAGGTAAAGCAGGCAGGCAGATTGAGTTGCTCACAGAATCACAGATTCATTCAGTGATCTATCTATCTGCCATCGGCTACCTGAGTCTGTCACAGAAAATTTGCTTGCCGTGAGTCTGCACTGAATAATAGAACCTTCAGTCCTAAGGAAGGTTTGGCTCTGCTTAAAAGCAGAGCTGAAGATCTAAAGACTAGCTAGAAAGCAAGAAATCCAACCATTTCCTGCTTCCTAGCTAATCTAAATATCCCGGCACAGCAGAACAGATGATGGTTGTGGGAAAAAATGGAAAAATAGCAGTTTAGCTGTCAAGTTTGCCAGGTAAGGAGTGAGTAGGCGGGGAGGGTTCCCGTGGGCAATGTGGGCGGCGCAGCCATGTGTTCCTGTGCAGCCTGGATTAATTGCTTTGGGGTGACATTTCTCTGTGGCCCACCAAAATTTTCTTGCGGACCACCAGTGGGCTGTGGCCCAGCAGTTAATGACCGCTGTCCTGGATGACAGCTCTGTGCTTTTGGATTTGAGTTATTGCCCAAAGATCAATTGTTTGACTTCTGAAGGGAGTTTCATGATTTCATAAGTTCCCTGAACATGGCTCCCTGATGTAAAGCATATCCAAGCTTAATGCTAACACTGGCATCATGGGATCTTTTATTCTTCTGTTTAACTGTTAAGGAATAGAATCCAAGGAGTACTAACATAAAGGAAATATACCTCAGGGAGGACATAACTGATTCCTCTAGCCATATATTAAACTTGTCAGCAATCCTTCAAAGAAGAATTCTTGCTGTGCATTGAGTAGCAGCTCGTTGTTGCTAAAAGTAACTTGGGTTTGTTTTGCACAGACCTTAATCCCTATCAGGTAAAGCCCCAAAACCAAAAAATTCCCTGAATTTGATTGAGTTGTTTGCTGACAAATTAGGTTCCTTGCAGTAATGGAGTAATCTGAGGTGGGGGAAAATGAAGGCCGCCACCCCCGCTCCCTTGGATATAATTAAAATATAATTTCAATTCTAAAATTAAAAGTTATTGCTACCAGTGGTCAGCTATTTCAGAACATTTACAGAATGAGCAGTAAAATGCCTGGTAACAAATGGTTGTAAGAGTCGGCTTAAAAGAAAGAACGTAAACGACAAACTTTTAAATCATGAGAGATCATCAATCCTCTTGGCCCAGACTTGAGAAGTTTGGGGCCTCTTGGTTCTCTTGGTGTACTGATGAGTTGTACGAGCACTCTCACAGAGCAGCTTGACTATTTACCTGCATAAACATTGATGTGGTTATTCCCTCTTCCCCGGGATCAGAAGCTGTTTCATTTTCTTAGCCTTTGTGAGTTGCATAGCCTAGAGACACCATCTCGCTTACCTAGTGCAGTATAGTCTGATTGATGGTGGTTCTTCAGAGTCTAAATCAAAGGTCTCCCCCTTCATCAGCTGCCTAGTCCAAACTTGGAGCCAGGGACCTTGTGCTTTGACTCTGAACTCTCTCAGTGAACTAGAATCCACAGGGAGCTGCTTCTAAGGCACCGCATCCTCTTTCCACTTATTCTTTCCAGCTGAATTCAAGTGTCGCCCAGGGCAATTCCAGTGCTCTACAGGAATCTGCACCAACCCAGCCTTCATTTGCGATGGGGACAATGACTGTCAGGACAACTCGGATGAAGCAAACTGTGGTAAGTATGCTCAGCCTTTCTCACATTACTCCACAGAAGTTGTTTGAGCTCCTTCTCCCCCCTCCGGGGGGGGGGGGATTTCAAGTCAGTCATGTTAATATGTAATCCCTTATTTTAAAAGTTAAAAAGTTCAAAACCATAACAAACGCAAAGTGACCAAGCTACCCCAAATTCACTATTGACTCACTCAGAAAAGAGTAAAAATTGGGGAGCAGGTGGTGGTTATAAAACAGCCATTTCTCAGAGTCATTTCTAGTGTGAAGAACATAAAAAAAAAGATTGCCTCCATCCCTACGAATCTTCGTGCTGTGCTCTCTGGATGGAACCTTTCCTCCCCATTCCTTTCTCTTCCCTTTCCCTTTCCGATTTTCTTAATCTTTAATATGATAGGAATGGCAAACCAAGGAAAGCAAAATGAACCTACGCAGAACTGCTCTTTCCTCCCTACTCCTCCATTTCCCTGAAATTTCAGAGTAAAGACAAGACATCTAAGTACATGGGAGTCTTTCAAAAATGACTGCCATGGAAATACATCCCGTGAGAAAGCCTGACAAAAATTAAGATTCAAGGGTGTACCTGGTCAACCGTCTCTCTTGTCAACTGTCCCAGTAACACAGTTCCCCAACCTTTCCGGGTTGGTGGCCCAGAGTGAGGGCAAGGGGGGGAAAGAGGGGATGGTTTTGTGGAAGGGGCAGGCACATACCTGCGCACGAACACCCGTTGTGTGAGTGGGGACACAAGGGTCCACAACGCTTGCGGTGACACTTGTGCGAATGTGAGTGCCTGCACGAGAGCGTCCGTGAGTATCCACGATGATCACGCCGGTGGGGTCACGAGCACTCACAATGGTCACAGCAATGCTCACACCAGTGGGGCTGTACAGGTGTGCACATACTCGCCCACCGGCCAGCTATTCACACTGCTCGATGGTCAGTAGGTTGGGGACCTCTGCATTAGCGCATGCAGGAAAAATAACTCCTGGGACATAATTTTTACCAACAGTCTAATTTTACTGAGAGGGTTTCCACAGACAGCTGCATAGGTAAAGTTCCCCCTTTCCCCTTGAGGCTTCCTACTGTCCATTGTTTGCTGATCCAATGCTTTCTTTGTGTTTTGGAAAACAGTCTGTGCCCTTTGAAGAGTTCCTATAACATGACCTTGAAGCGAGGGGAACTTTCCCAGGGCCCAGCTGGCTTTCCTGATTCCTCAGCCCCTCCCCAACTCCCTCCAAGGCTTCCACTCCCCACCCTTTCCGTTTCTGTTGTCAAACTGTGAGGAAAATGGCAGGCAAGGTTAGAATCCCAATCGGCTTTGACGCGCTCTCCCTTAGAGCTGGGTTCATTTCTCTCTTTTTCTCTGTCAGAAGTCCATGTCTGCCTGCCCAGCCAGTTCAAATGCACAAACACCAATCGCTGCATCCCAGGCATCTTCCGTTGCAATGGGCAGGACAACTGTGGTGACGGAGAGGATGAGAAGGATTGTCGTAAGTAAAGCGACTAGGGTCCTTTTTCCTGCCAGTCTCTGTGCCAGGCTTGTCAAAAGATCAGATGTGCTTGCGCGATTAGCATAATCTCCATAAACATCCAGGGGAGTTTGTTTGTACATGAAAGCCAAATTATAGCGTATTGCTAATTCTGCACCATGTTAGTAAAATCGCACTCACAAAAAAAGATGGAATTTTGCAATCTGTCACCATGAATCGAAGTAAATAAATCTGCAGGTGTTGAGGTTCAGGGTGAGATGTGGAATTAAAGCACAGGTAGTCCTCAACTTAAACCAGTTCATTTAGTGACCATTCAAAGTTACAACGGCACTGAAAAAAAGTGACTTATGACCACTTTTCATGGCTGTGGCCTTTGTGGCATGATTATGTGATCAAAATTGAAATGCTTGGCAGCTGGTTCATACTTACAACTGTTGCCGTATCCCAAGGTCATGTAATTCACTTTTTGTGACCTTTGGACAAGCAGAATCAATGGGGAAACCCAGATTCACTTAACAGCTGGCTTAACAACTTAACAACTGCAGTGATTCACTTAACAACTGCGGCAAGAAAGGTCATAAAATGGGGCAAAACTCACTTAACTAATGTCTCACTTAACATAAATTTTGGGCTCAGTTGTGGTTATAAGTTGAGGACTAACTGTATGGTTTTCTTCAGTGAAGTGGTAATGGCCAACATATCTTATATTGTGGGTCATTGTCTGATTGCATAGAGTCGGCATTGATTTCAAGGAACTCCCATTATATACCAGGGTTATCTCCTGACTCCACTTCCTTTTTTACAGCGGAAGTGACTTGTGCTCCAAACCAGTTCCAGTGTGCCATTACCAAACGCTGCATTCCACGAGTTTGGGTTTGTGACCGTGACAACGACTGCGTGGACGGATCCGATGAGCCTGCCAACTGCAGTAAGGCACTATGCACACTATGGGAGGTGGCTTTGAGAAGGAGAGAATAGTTCTTATGTCCCCAAGAACACCCAATGTCTTGCTTTGAAGTCTTCCTTTCTCCATTGGAGTCCCTGACACGAAACCTGAAAAAAACAACTGTTTAATGGCATTAGCCTTTGTGGACTTATTGAAAACCACTCCGTTTTCTTGACTTGAATATTTCTGAAACGAGAAAGCCTGTAGTGACTATGTAGCTTTCTATGTCTTGGTGGCGACCCAGGTGATCAAGGCAAGGCAGACCTCTAGAGCAGGGGTCTCCAACCTCGGCAACTCTAAGACTTGTGGACTCTGGGGGAGTTGAAGTCCACAAGTCTTAAAGTTGCCAAGGTTGGAGTCCCCCTGCTCTAGAGCAGTGGCCCCCAAACTTTTTTGTGCCACAGCCTGGTACCAGCATCACAAAATGATTCGCGGCCCGGTACCGGCATCAGCACGCATGACAAGGCAACGTGAGCCGAGCGACCGGCCGGCCAGCCGTCCCCCGCTTCTCCCCGCCACCTTCAACTCCTCCTTTGTACCTTTGTCGATGGGCTTCACTTCGGGACGGCTTTGGGACGGTCGCTCGGCTCGCCTTGCCTTGGGTGCTTTCGTTCGAAGCCCGCCCCCCCTTCAATGAAACAAAGGCGCGAGGATTCCTTCAGGAGCCAAACGCCGCTTTCCAACCGGAAAAGCTCACCCGGAAGCACTTTTTCGTCAAACAAACCCGCCCAGCAAACCGGCGGCCCGGTAGGAAATGTTCCACGGACCGGTACTGGTCCGTGGCCTGGTCGTTGGGGACCCCTGATCTAGAGAATCCTTTATTTCTCTCAACAAATGTTCCAGCCCTCCAACGACTGGGAAGGCTCCACCCTCACGCTTCCCTGAAGGCTGCCACCCTCAGTCTCACAAACCCAGCCCCGTTACACCAAAGAAAGACCACAGAGTAGGAGGACACTCACCGGGCAAGGTCCAGGATTCCAAGTCCAATCCACAAGGCAGAGTCCAGGCACAAGAGGAAGGGCAGTCCCGAGGACAAGAAACGGGCCCCAGACAAGAAGCCGTTCCACAGTGAAGCAAAGGCCACAAGAGAAGGGCTAGGTCCAAAGCAAAATGTAAAGAGCAATCTTCCAAGTGAATCCAGGCAAACAGCAACAGGCATGAATCAAAGCCAGGGGGAGTATAAGCCAAAGTAAATAATTGTTCCTGGCAAAGAACGGCTTCTCTTCAAATGACTCCCCTCCAGGTGTTCCTTGCGAAGAAGGGTGGGGGCGACCTTTCCCCCAGTAGCCTTGCAGCCCTTCTCTGGGCTTGTCTATGCTGCACTCTGCTTGCTCTTGGATCGACTGGAGCAGGCAGCTGTTCCTCATCAGAGGAGATCGACTGCCTATTTGGCGCAACTGACACTCAGCCGCCGATCCTCTCCTGTGTCTGTGCAAGCAGGCAGTTGTTCTCCATCTGGTCGACCACCTCACCCAATGCCTGAGGGGCCCAGGACAGCATCCTCCTCAGCCCCTGGCATCTCCAAACATCCTAAGGGAGACGTGCCTTCCCTGTCCGACAGTCCCAGTTCTAACTCCTCCTCTGAAGGGGCCATGACAGCTGCGTTAGATGGGGCCATGACAGCCGTGTTATTGACATGTGCAGTTTTCTAAAAGCAATCTGTTTGTGCCTCATTTTTCATTTCTTCAATCTTTTTCACTCATCAAGCACAAATGAGATGCGGTCTGGATGAGTTCCGGTGCAAGGATTCTGGCCGATGCATCCCAGCACGTTGGAAATGTGATGGTGAGGATGATTGTGGGGATGGTTCAGATGAACCCAAGGAAGAATGTGGTAAGTTGACTGTATCGTGGGTATTTTTAGAAGGGATAGGGGCAGTGATGGGATTCAATTTTTTTTTATTACCGGTTCTGTGGGCGTGGCTTGGCAGGTGTGGTGTTGCTTGGTGGGAGTGGTTTGACAGGTGTGGCAAGGGAAGGATACTGTAAAATCTCCATTCCCTCCCCCCGCCTGGGGGAAAGTTACTGGAAAGTCCCATTCCC